TCGCGGTCTGCTCTGCAATATTTGCCAGCTCAATTCGCAGCTTGCTTTTAAATCGATGAATTGATAAAGAATCGATACGATGGAAGGATGAATCGACAAATTTTTTGTGGTTTCTGCTGCCTAAATGATAAATCCGAGGTAGGATAGAACAGGATTTAGATTGAGATTCGCGCTCGATCGGCGGATCTTCTCGATGGAAATATAACTGATTATGCTTAGGAGCGTTTATCATTTTATTTGGCAATCTTTTTCGACGTAATTTTTAAGATGCTCTTTCTGGACACGATGGTTTTCCTATAGACATTAATGAAGCGAAAAAAAGCTAGTTGTCAGAAACAAGCGTTAAGCGACGCGCAGAGTGCATCAGATTTTTTCTACGTATTTTTCTACGCGCATAAAATAAAATAGTATAGATATTACTGTGGTTTCTTAATGAAGGCGCACTTTGACAGAGACCTTTTGCGCCAATAAATTCACGACTCGAGCAACACCTATTATTCCTTAAACTTGAATATTTACTTTTCTCAAAACATCGGATCTCTAGAAACACGAAATTCGTCAAAAAGCGCAATGTAAAGAAACCATACGCGCGCATATTATTACCACGCTTTCTTCTTAATATTCTTCCGAATATGAAAAGTCAATAAACGAATTAAAACTGCGATCGCTGTCACTTGCATGCCATAAATGCTCAATATTAAACATATAAAATATTATAAGATTCATTTTCAGAAGATTACACGGTATAGGATGTTAAATTTTATTTCTTCTATAAAATACCGCAGTACAGTAATGTCTCTCTAATTGACGCACAGATTATCCACAAAAATGGACAATTTGGGAAGAGGAGATACGATTATTCGAGCCTTGCGGTTCATTTTTATAGTTACGAATTGTCAACGACTATAAAAACGAGGTTGACCACAAAAATGGACAATTTTGGAAGAGGAGATACGATTATTCGATCCTTGCGGTTTATTTTTATAGTTATAAATTGTCCACAATAATAAAAACGAGCCGCAAGGCTCGAACAATCGTATCTGCTCTTCCCAAATTATCCAATTTCGTGGACAATCTGAGCGTCAGCAAGAGACACCGAGCTGATTAGACCGGACCGACTGGATTACTGTACCGAGCGGAGATCTTCGTTTCGCGCTGACTAAGGAAAAGTATAGTAACATCCCGCAATTTCGCGCCTCCGAGACGGAGGAATATCTGTTTGGTCTGCTCGCGGACGAGACCGTCGAGCACGCGCTATCACAGAAAGATAACACTTCTACGCGAGCGCGCACGTGTGTACCATGTACCACGGGATGGTAGATCCGCGCGCCGGAAGGACCTGTTGAAGTCCCGGGATTAGAGAACATGATGCGACCATTGAACGCTTTCGATTAGGTGTGCATAATCAGCGGGAAGATTCGCGTAGCGCGATCGGTGCTTGATCAAATGCTATCGCAAATGATAAACGGTGAACGGTCAAGGGTAAGTGTGGGCGTTACTTCGGACGTTCCGAATACGGTAATGTCTCTCTAATTGACGCTCAGATTGTCCACAAAAATAGACAATTTGGGAAGAGGGGATACGATTATTCGAGCATTGCAGCTCGTTTTTATAGTCGTTGATAATCGATAATCATAAAATTTTTTGGGACACCCTATAGTATAGTATAGTATAGTATAGTATAGTCACTATACTATATACTATCACTATACTATACTACAGTATAGTATAGTCACTATACTATATACTATCACTATACCATACTATAGTATAGTATAGTCACTATACTATACTATAATATAGTATAGTCACTATACTATATACTATCACTATACTATACTATACCATAGTATAGTACAGTCACCAACAAGCTCGTCCGTGGTGCATCTTTTTGGTTGGAAGAGAACTGTGGCGCCAGAAGTGAAAAATATCGGAACCTCGAGGTGGTGTTTCGCATCCACTAGCCGTATGTCTTAATTAAGTAAGCAATCAACTGAAAATACACTCCACTGGCTTTGTACGTGTCTTAACTCGGTTGCTTCCGTTGTGAATTTCCGATTCGAACTCCAAATCTCTCGATATTTACGAAAAACTGTTAGCGGCGGCCATCTTGTGACGTCATGCTCGTGAGATCTACGCTACGCTGGCCGAATATTGCAAATATCTCCATAATAATCGCAAAATGGATATTTCTACAACCGAAGTCCCCGAGTTTAGTCTTTTGGGAATCTAAATTTGCCACTTGTCAATTGCACACTTCGATATTAACCATTTGCACTCGCGCGGTGACTCTGAAGCACCACTAAAATTTGTCATGACACGTTCTAAGGTAATTTTTATATTAACAAAGTTGAGATTTAAAAAATTGTTGAAAGTGTAACTGTTTTATGAGTTACAAAACTCAACTTGTCTCTCTAATCGACGCTCGGATTGTCCACAAAAATGGACAATTTGATTAGTTCAATTTTTATAGTTGTCGATTGTCAACGATTATAAAAACGAGCCGCGAGGCTCGAATAATCGTGTCTCCTCTTTCCAAATTGTCTAGTTTTCATTACAAGCTAAGGGACAATTGCAGAGAATTTACCGTAACACGCGTCACTCGCCGTTAGTGTCACCCGCTTCAGTGTCGCGGATTCTGCACAAGGGACAATTGGAGAGACATTCGAGTTCAGCAGAGTGACACGAATGTTCGGATACCAGATTACAGTAAATTCTCTCCAATTGTCCCTCATACAGAAATGAACAATTTGAGAAATGGAGGTGCGATTATTCGAAACTCGCGGCTCTTTCTTTTATAATTATCAATTGTCAGCAATCGTAAAAACGAGGCTCAAATTGTCTTCCCAAATGTGCAATTTCCCCAAATTGTCCATTTGCGTGATCAATCCGGGCGTCAATTAGAGAGAGTGACATTACTGTACCTCCGATCGTGCCCTCCGTAGAAGATCAGACGTCGTCGTCGGAGGAGGACTTTATCGGGGAAACAGCGTGCAAATCATCTTGGAAAAAGCGTGTCTCGTTCCGTAGCGAGATCGCGTCGATACCGCGCCAAGAGAAAGAGAGAGAGAGAGAATGTACTAATACGTGACGAGCATTACAGGAGCTTGTAATATTTTCCTTCGGATTTTCTGCGCCTTTTTTCACCGGCGAGTAAATGCGCGCCGGGTCCGCGGCAGATTCTGGTCCACGAACGCTTTTGTGAAAATACATTGAATCCCGTATCCGTTCTAGCGGAAACGAATGCCCGTGACGTGATTGCTTTTATAATATCGTGATCGAATGTAATGGTTGTGAGCGCGCGCGCGCTGCTGGAGGTGGTTTGAAAGGAGAGGAACCGGAGGGAATTCTATCGAGAGGGCAAAGGGAAATCGATTCGGCCCGTGTAATAAAGAATGTAAGTTATACACCACCGGCGTGTGTCCTCCGCGCGGCTTTTGTAATAAGTTGATACGCGTACACATATGTAGGTTTATGTATGTACCGGGCGGTACCGCCGATTACGCGGCCGCTGTTTATAGAAACTCGTTTTTCGACTCCGCCGGACCGAAACGAAACGAAACGGACAGTTTGCTGGAACTTGCCGCGCGGTTTCCGGCAACCGCTCGCTCCCGCCGCTATATCGAATTTATGCACGGTTTACATGAACGCGTAACAAGCCATCAACTGTACAATGTTCGTCTGTTACAATAACGAATTCAGAACGGCCGAACTCTGCTGCCCTCTCCCCCAAGGGAAGACTTTGGAACAGGACTGCGTTAGATACTCGTTCATCATTTACACGCGGTTTTCGCCTACGTATTTTATTGTTACGTTGGTTGCACTCCGCGGCGAGCTATGACGTTTTTTCTGCGTTTTTTAGCGAAAATTCTGATTGGGGTTTTTGTTTGATATGTATTTAAGTCTATGAATATTAGGTGATGAAATTATTAATATCAATGGAAAAGAGATATATGCGCACACAACGCAGCAAGGCAGACAATCGAAGGCACGCAAACGAAAACGATCGCACTATACTAAATTATAAATAGATACTAATTCATCATTTACACGCGATTTTCGCCTACGTATTTTATTGTTACGTTGGTTGCACTCTGCGGCGAGCGACGACGTTTTTTCTGCTTTTTTTGGCGAAAATTCTGATTGGGGTTTTTGCTAGATATATATTTAGGTTTATGTATATTAGGTGATAAAATTATAAATATCAATGGAAAAGAAAGAACGCGCGAGAGATACATGTGCACACAACGCAGCGAGGCAGACGATACATATTATATACACTATATTAAATTATAAGGGCTTATTTACAACAATTTTATATATAATTTTAATCATGAGATAAAATGATCTCGCGTACAGATCGTGAACTATTAAATGATACCGGCGCACCGAATGCAAAAGTTTCTTTCGTTGAATTCGATGCACTTTGTCTTGGATACACTGGATACGTTAGATGCCTTTGGTGAACATATTAGCGATACTATCGTTCAATCGCCAGAAATTTTAACTTTTCTGACGTTGCATGCCGATGCACTTTCATTACAAAACTGCAAGAAAGAAGTTGTGATTTGAACTTGTAATGTATGAAATGAATACTTGTAAATGAATACTTGTAATATATGGAAAAAGGTACGAAATTGTAATTTGTAATAAATTTCTATTGTAATAAATTCCTTTCTTGTAACAAATTTCTATCGAAATAAATTTGTAATAAAAGATCTATTGTAATTTGACAATTAATTACAAAATTGTCAGGATTTTCATTAAGGTCGATATAAAATCTAACGTGTCCAGAAGTAGCACGTTAAAAAATACGTTGAAAATATTGCTAATTAAAATCATAAACGAACCTGAGCATATGAAATTATATCTTTGTCAAAAAGTTCCGCTGTTCGAGGTTTAATCAAAAGTGCCATTGCACTTTACAGCTGCAGCAAACTTCTCGAAGATCTCTACCTTGGCATAATTATTAATGCGAATATTCTGCGTTTTTGTTGCAGGTACGCTTTCCACCACGGTCTAGTATTCACCGATGACCCGTATTTAGCGTCGCTAAGCCGTGCAGTGGAACACTTAATTTCGTCAGATTGCAGAATTCAATAAACAGGTAAATAACTAATATGTACCCAACTGGCCAAATGACAGCAATCAGTCTGCGAATTGATGGCAATACAGACGGTGTTTGTCGAGTAAACAAGATCCGGGGCAAATAATCCCGTACGGGATCAAAAGATAAGAACGCGAATTGAAACGGTCGGCTGGCATATTGCGCGTTTCAATTGTTCCGAAATTTTCGCTATTTTTTTACAATTTTAAAAAACTGCATCGACAGAGACGGCACGCGCAAGGTGTCGCTCGAAAAGGATTGATCCAAATTTGGAATCCTTTCATAAGTCCGTGGAGGTTCGTTTTCGGATAGATTGAAAAGTCGTGTGTTTGATTGGAAACAGAAAAACGTGGTAAAGGGAGACGTTGAATTTGGCGCGGGATCGTTTATTTTTCATTTTATTCTTCATTTTCGGGAATGCGACTTTCGCGCGGATCCATTCGCCGAAAACGCTCCGCGCGAAAAAAAAATGTTTCCAACGGGGCAAAAATAGCGAGACGAACAACGCGACGCGCACGAAATGTTAATTTTCTAGATATCCTGCTCCGCTCTTTTCAACGCAGAATTCTATGAAGCCAACGAGTCACGTGAGCCACGCGAGTCGTAAGTCACATTTTCGAAAATTTTTGGCTGCGTCCTAAAATCTGATCCACGCATGCCGAAACGTTAAATAGAAAAGTGGCATAGATTATAAATGTTATTACAAATGTTACTACCGATTGACTAATCTCTAAATTCTCTTGACAACAAGTTTGGTCGGTAAACAATACACATGTTAGTAAAAAAGAATAATTCTTGCTTCTCGCAATGATGAAAATGCGACTCAATTATTAATAAATTAATAATATGAACTCGAAGCTGTTTTAACTCTAAATCTAAAAGAATTCTTCTGCCTTACAGTAATTTCATTTTATACGACAAAGTGCATTTTATGCATACGAAATCGAGTCTTGCGACTCACGCAACACCTTTTTAACAATTTTTTAAATCTAAACTTCGTTGATACAAAAATTACCTCAGAACGCGATATAACAAATTTCAGTGGCTTCTCAGAGTCGCCGCTCGACTGCAAAGGGTTAAAAACCGAACTACAAGATGCATTTATCATACCTTTCGCACTAAGAATTTTTCACACGACGAAAGAGTTCTCCTTATTTCAATTTTCATCGAATTCCATGGTCTGCGATCGAGTAGGCTCGACCCTTTGCGGTCGAAGCTATTTTAATTCGAAATCCGAAACATGTTTTCCGATCTAAGGTATTTCCATTTCATACAATTTACAGGTACTGTTAGAATTATTTTCAAAAATGACGTAACAATTTTCAGTGGCGCCCGAGAGTCGCCATTCGAGTGCAAAGGCTTAAGACTAAACTGAATGACCGGTTTTACATTTTGTATTTTAAAATTGCTGCAATTATAGAGACTTTCATAGGAGATTATATTAAATGAATTTCACAGTCCGAGTATTCGTTGTAATAAAAATTATGGGAAGCCTAAATAGATTCGGTTTTATCGTTCATAAAGAGCAACAGAAATTCGTCGCTTTTGGTGCTCGGCAGCTTTAGTGTTAAAATTCTCAAAAAAAAGAAGAAAAAACACTCGAGGACGTTATCAAACCGCGATAGTTAAATATTTCGGAAATCCTGCGAGCACGATCCTCGAACAATCCTCCGGAGCTATACTCCGCGCCGATTTACCGGGCTCCGAGCCGCAACCTACTCGAGGAGAACGTCTTGAGATCGTGACGACTATTTCGGCGAAGCAATCGCACGTTAATTACCGAGTGCTCGCATTCAGACACGCGCCGGTAATGAAGTCGAGGTCGTCGTACCAATTCCCAATAACCGGTTCGCAAGCCCTCGCAGCCGATAGTCACGATTGAATTGAACGCGACACCGCGTCGGTCCAAGTGCACTGGGTGCCACGTAAGAAACTCGCCGGATCGTTTTGGGATAACCAGAGAGTCGGGCGCAGAAGGAGCATAAAGGAGGACACCGCTAAAACCGGAAGATATGAATATACCGCGGCGGCAGGAAAAACGTGCGGGGCCGTTATCGTCGAGGGGTTCCGGGCGGGCTATCATCGCGAGGGGAGGAGGGGCGAAGATCGTCGATCGAAAATTCATGCGGTTAGGATTGTATTTCGGTGCGCCGCTTAAGCGGATTTCCGGCTGATTCTAATCAGGGAGCACGTAATGAATAATAATGAGTATTATCCCGCGATTCTCATCGCAGCGCCCTGTCGATACACCGGCGATACCTATCGGCGGTGATTTCAAACTGTTTTAATTAGCTCCGCGGAAAATCCGGGAAAGTTAAGAGATTATAATTGGCCGGCTCTATAGGGGGTATATTAATACCTCCATCGATTAATGGCTTCCCGCAGATTTTCTTCGGGGGCCATTGTACCGAAGCACAAAGGTGAGCTCGGCGAGGCTGACAGGTCGTTCGGGATCTCTCGTGAGTTGCTTCGGGAAACCCGAAATCGAATTTCGATTCTCTGGAATCGCGTTAACCGTTCGTATATAATCTACGAAATATGAGAATGTTGTATATTCGTTTCTTCTTCGTTGAAATCAAATTATTCTTTGTTTAGTTTTTATCGAATGAAATATATTTTATTTCGAATTATTATTCTAAACGCAACGGCGATAGTAAGAACATTTCTGCGATAAGGACATCTATGTGAACTTGGCATCCTGTGAGATCTCACAAGGAGAACAGTAATAATAATAAGAATAATAATAAGAGTAATAATAATAATAAAAATAATAATAAGAATGATAATAATAATAATAATATTAAAAATAAGAATCAGTATAATAATGAGAATAATAATAATAAGAAGAAGAATAAGAAGAATAATAAGAATAAAAATGATAATAAGAATAATAAGGATAATAAGAATAAGAATAAGAATATAAGAATAAGAATAATAACAAGAATATCAGTAAGAACAAGAATAATAATAATCAAACAAAATGTATTGTTCGAATGAAAAATATCGTCGAACAAATTCTTTGTGTTACGTAATAGCCCGCCATATTTATCCCGTCGCCTTTTTTACACCACACCGGCGCGACGACGAGTTAAGAACGAATAAGAGCTAATCGACGCAGCTATAAATCGTAGCGCGCAAGAAATATAACAAACGCGAAGGCTCGAAAAAAAAAAGTATCCTTGCTCTTGATTTATTACGATGGAATTACAGCGTCGCCGCGAATTTGTAGTCGCGCGATGCAAATGTACGCGGAGCGCGCGTCCCGATTTCCAGTCGTCGCGTCGTCGGGAGTCGGTCATTGTTCGAAGTTCGGGAATTACGGGCGATGTAACGTTGACTGGCGGCGGCCCGAAACCGCGGCGCATTTATTCCCGTTTGATAACGAAGGCTAATGGCTGGAACCAATTATCAAGACCGTTTCGGCGCGCGTTAGAGGCGACGCGAGGCGACGCGGGGCGAGGCGACAGGACGCGACAGGACGCGAGACGCATTTCTACGCAATCACTCGTTCCGCCTTGACGCGAAACACCTGCTACCACGAAGTTCAATGAACATTTTGCGAGAGAGTTACTAATACCGCCACTTCCGCCTTATTGCAACGATGAAGACGTCCCACCCTTTGCAGGAGGGGGGCTGCGCCGGCGAAGATTGAACCGGGCCAGAAATTACTCGAATGCCACTTGGAGCGTTCAACGTTGCGGTAAATGTTGTGGCATAGTTTAAACGAGCCGCTCCAAGTTTCGTGTTTCTCTATGAATAGGTACATTAATGACTTTATCAAAGTATTCCCCGGTCTTAGAATTATTGCTACCGCAGCGAACGCTATCCGAGCCGTAATGAACTTTCCGTCGGCCGCCAAAAATCGCTGCGACTCCTTAGCTACGAGCCGGCTCTCGTTCCCGAGATGCCTCGAAACTCTGGCCAGCTTGCCGGCGAATTTTTGCGAACGTCGCTCCACTCGCTCGCTACGTACTTCGCAACAATCTCCGAAATTGCTTGCTCCGCTCGAAATTTCGTCTCCCGCTTCTAACGTTAAAACGGACCGCTTTGTCCGCATAAATTGCACGATGCAACCGAGCCGCTGCTAACTGTTCTCTAACAATGTGTGTACAAAGGTTGCACTTTCTTGGCTGCAAACCTCGCCGTTTTCTTTCGAAAGTAGAAGTTAACTTAACTCGAAGGCTCGATGGTTTTCCGAAGGTGCGGATGTAACGAGTTACGTTCATATTTTTGATCTAACTTTTGTTAGTTACATTGTTGTTACACCGTCACCGAAGGAGTTACAGTAATGTCTCTCTAATTGACGCTCGGATTGTACACGAAAATTGACAATTTGGGAAGAGGAGATACGATTATTCGAGCCTTGCAACTCGTTTTTATGATCGTTGACAATTCGTTACTATAATATATATACTATAATACTAGTTATAGTATATATTATAGTATATATTATAGTTACTATAATATATATATTACTCTTCCCAAATTGTCCATTTTCGTGTACAATCTAAGCGTCAATTAGAGAGACATTACCGTACTTACTTTCTCATCAAGATATTACGATGTTCTACAGGGTGTCCCAAAAATGTCTCGCAATCCGAAAGTGATGGGTTCCTCGGGTCATTCGAAGCAATTTTTTCCTTTACAAAAATTTTCTCCGAGGCACCATTAACGAGTTATTAACGGAAAACAGTGACCAATGAGAGGCGAGCTCGGCTGGCGCGAGGCGATCGAGCCAATGAGCGGAACTGGGCTTCGCGCGCTGGTTGGCTGGGCCGCTTCGCGTCAGCCGTACTCGATTCTTATTGGTCATTGTTTTTCGTTGATAACTCGTTAACGGTGCCTCGGAGAACATTTTTGTAAAGGAAGAAGTTGCTTCAAATGATCCGAGAAACCCGCCATTTCCGGACTGCGAGACATTTTTGGGACACCCAGTATATTACGTGCTGCTCCATATTACTCGCGTTTACCTATCGGTTAGCCAGCCATGACCGAATAAC